AATCACTGTTATATATGTATTTTTGATTTTGAAAAGTTGTGTTTAACTTAAAAAAAAAAGAGACTAAATAGATCGCATATATTTAATAGTTTAAGTAACCGAACACAATATTACAAGTGATACATTATCTTGAAAGGTAAACATATCACTTGATGACGGGTTTGATTTTATAAACTAAATAATTCATGATATCCGTTTGGTCTGCGAAACCTTTTATGTATGACTGACAAGTTCCCCTACCTAAACTAAATTGATTTTTTTTTTCATTACTATTACATATTTACCTATAAAATTTTTATAAAATAAAATTAAACTCAAGTCAAAATGATAAATTAAATACATTAGAAATGCATAAAAATCTACCTGTGAGCTCAATTCTATGACTTCAACTCAAATTGGTGTTTCGAGAACCATGGAAAACCTAGAAAATAAAGCCTTCCTGCTCAACAAAACCTTCTACTTCGATGCTTTTTCTTTTATTCTTCCATTTCTCTTCTCATTCTCCCTTTATTTGGCTCGATTTATCCTACACAAAACCGCTTCCTCTCTTGTTACTTCGCACAAAACCTCACCTCCTCATTTTTCTTCCTCCTTCGCACAGGAGTTACATGACTCCTCTCTTTTCCGCATGCGGCTCGCTTCTACCTTGTCTTCTTCCTTTGTACAGGACGCTCACACCTCTCCTTCTGCATGCAAGGTCCTTCCTTCTTGCCCCCGCACCGAATGGCTAGGGTTCACACAGTTTGCTCTTGCTTGCATATCACGGACGCGCTCCTTCCTAGGTGTCATCTTCCTTTCCACACTACACATGCAACACTCCCAAGATTCAAAACACTCTCCCCTGATCTCTAACTCTCCTTCCTTCTTCCTCTTCCTTTGCTCATACGAGGCTCGCTTGCTTGGCTTGTGCCACTCGAACTGCTTCATTAGGGTTTAGTTTCCTCCTCCTCATGACGTCGCTGCTTCCTCTTTTCTCATCCCTTCATGTGTTCGGTAAAATGAAACGAGTAAAGAAAATATTGATCGTTTTGGTTCACGTGAGCGATGTGTCGGTTACCAATAGGTGTCGTGAGGGGGATTAAATTTTATTTTAATATTTTTATTATTATCATTATTTAAATTTTTTTTTTTTATGGTATATGTCGCTATTGTGATTTCTGGCAAACTCTAGTTGAGTTCTTCCGAAGTTGGAGAGACCTGATGCAGTCATAATGGCAGTGAACCTAATAAACTATATTACTATGTTTAAGCTTTTTCTCTAATCTTATTTGCAGTCATCAGTATTCTTAATTATAACAAATAATATTAAAGATTCTAGTTAGTTACTATCGATGTATTATTGGCATGTTTCCCTTCTCTACATAATTGATTCATAACACTATCATTTGGGATGGTTCAGAATATTCTAACAATAATTGTTCTCTACTTTTTGGAATCCCCCCAATAGCTTGACCATCTCTTTATGATTCTCTACCTTTGCTTCTATATTCATATCACATTCACGTTCTATTGTTGACAAGACAAACACGCTAGAAAATGAAAAATAATGAGTTGCTACTTTAAATTTCCTTCACATTTTATTTTCAAAACATCTACGAGTAAATTCAGGTGTGCATGACAGATTGAAATAAACTTGTTCTTTCTCCATATAAAATAGAAATAAAATGTTTGGGAAGATGGCTGTTAGTCTGGTTGCTATTGCTTTCTCGACAGCAAGCTAACCAATACTATTTGGAAAAAAACTGTTAATCGGGGCAAAATATAGGGCTCGCTGACATTGGAGAGCATGTCAATGGTGTTGGGAGGAGGGTTTTAGATTTTGGTGGTACAGGAAGGAAGAAGATCATAGACTCAACTTAGAATGCAAAGAATGGGTAATGATGGTTTTGTTGTGGTTGGAATTGTCTTTGGAACTCTTGATCTGCGATTTCGGTAGAGAAGGATTCACTCTTTCAACTTGTTCGGTTGAATCGTTAGTGCCATGACAATGGGAACCTGGAAGGCGGGGTGAGCTAGTGGACCCAATGACTCATGATGAACAGTAGATTTAAGTAGGCTTCTAGGATGAGAATATTTTTTCTAAAACAACCCGAACAAACCGGTCTGGCAACATAATGAGCTCAGTCGTTATGATGATAAAGTTTTAATTATAAAATCATTTTAAATAGTGATAAACATTTAATATTTTAAATGAATTATAAACTTTATAGTTGGGTCCCCAATGACCTTTATTTAAAATTTATATGCCCTTTGAGCCCATTTGAAAACCTTCCAAATCTCTAGATAAGCCAAATACAATTTTTGCCTCCATAGTTTAGTTCTCCTAGGTTGATATTTTCTCTAATTCTATGTACGGGCTCACCGCAAACTCTTGTGGACCTTATCTCTGTCTAGTAATAAATCATAAATTTTATCTAATCCTTCGGTTGCCTCAAAGCAAGCACCGTGTTACCTTCCAGCACAGGACTTAAATACTGTTTTTCGACCCTACAACTAGCCGATGTGGGACTATTTGTCCGTGACATTCTCCTCCACCCAATCACGCCAGTCATAAGCCCATCCATAGCTTAAAATGGGCGGGCTTGACTGTGAAAAAGTAAAATTTTGTAGGCTTACTTGTCACCTCCCAAAAGAGCCCTTAAAAGAGGTGGGCAACCCAGGACTTAAATACTGTTTTTTGGTCCCACACCTAGCCGATGTCGGACTATTTGTCCATGACAACCCGCTAGTCTCAACTTTATCATCTTTATTTGCTTAACCAAGGGAAGGAACCATTTAGGGTTTTTGTTTCTTCCTTTATTTTTTGTTTTACTCAAAATAAAATATATTTGGTATGATATAATATATTTAATTATTTTTAAAAACACTCAAATATTTTTTTTAGATACTTTGAGTATTTTTAAAAATAAATTAATTTAATTTTTA